CGCTGTTAATACCTTCCTGAATGAAACTGATTATGACAAATGTTTACTAGAAATTGTGTTCTCAGTTGTGGTGGAGCTGTGGATGTGGTTTGGTTGTGGAGTTTTCATCACTGTTCTTGTTGTTCTTCTTCTGAACTACACCATCATTATCAATAGCCCAAACTTCGGAAGTGAAGTATTCGAAATTTTCCATGTGTTTGACCCCTGAGCTTGTTCAACTAACCTCAGTCACTTTACAAAAAAGACATACGATTTTCCCTTTTATGATGCTTGTAGACAAGAAACTAATGGATTGTATTACTTAATAGTTGAGAAATAACCAATAATTATCAACAAAATAAATTGTTCAGACTGTGAAAAAACACACTACATCGGACACAGTGGATGGATGTCCTATTCAACTTCGCTGGCGTGAACACCAATTAGCACTTAAATGCCAAGTTGTTTCTTCTTCTTCTTATATCAATACATACGGACAACTATGAATATTGAAACCATCAATCAGTCCAATCAACCAATCAATCATTGTTAGACCAACATTCACTTCACTTCACTTTTGCCTGTTACCCCCAATGGAGCATAGGCCGCCCACCAGTTTTCTACAACCAACTCTGTCCTCAGCTTCCCTCTCCAGTTCTGTCCAATGTTTGTTCATTCCTCTCATATCTTTCTCTATTTCTCGGCGTAGTGTGTTCCTTGGCCTTCCTCTTTTCCTTTTGCCTTGAGGGTTCCATGTGAGGGCTTGTCTCGTGACGCAGTTAGGTGCTTTTCGTAGTGTGTGTCCTATCCACCACTTCCACCGCTTCTTCCTGACTTCCTCCTCCACTGGAATCTGGTTTGTTCTCTCCCACAGTTCGTTGTTGCTGATGGTGTCTGGCCAACGAATACGAAGTATTTTGCGTAGACAACTGTTAATAAACATTTGTATCTTCTGAATGATGGCTTTGGTAGTTCTCCATGTTTCCGCTCCATACAGTAGAACTGTCTTCACATTTGTATTGAAAATCCTTATTTTGGTTTTGTTTGAAAGTTGTTTGGAGTTCCAGATATTTTTCATTTGTAGAAATGCAGCCCTCGCTTTGCCAATGCGCCCTCACATCTACGTCCGATCCACCTTTCTCGTCGATGCTGCTGCCCAGATATGTGAAGGTGTTAACGTCCTCCTAGGTATCTCCATTAAGCGTGATTCGGTTGGTGCATGTTGTGTTGCATCGGAGAATTTTGCTTTTTCCTCTATGTATGTTGAGACCTACTGCTGCAGAGGCTGCTGCTACACTGGTCGTCTTCTCTTGCATTTGTTGTTGAGTGTGCGATAGAAGAGCCAAGTCATCTGCGAAGTCCAGATCGTCCAGCTGCGTCCTAACTGTCCAGTTGATACCGTGCTTCCCTCCAGATGTTGACGTCTTCATAATCCAGTCGATGACCAGGAGAAAGAGAAAAGGTGAGAGTAAGCAACCTTGCCTCACACCGGTCTTCACCTCGAAAGAGTCGGTTAGGTGTCCTCCGTGCACGATTTTGCAGTTGAATCCATCATAAGAATTCCGTATGATGTTGACTATTTTCTCAGGCACACCGTAGTGTCGAAGAAGCCTCCACAGTGTTTTCCTATCCACGCTATCAAATGCTTTCTCGTAGTCGATGAAGTTGATGTAGAGTGGTGAGTTCCATTCAATTGATTGTTCCACAATCATCCGTAATGTAGCGATTTGGTCAGTACACGACCGATCCTTACGAAATCCGGCCTGTTGATCTCGAAGTTGGGCGTCTATGAAGTCCTTCATTTTGTTTAACAATACCCTGTTGAGGACTTTGCCTGGTATTGAAAGAAGAGTGATGCCTGTGTAGTTCTCACACTTGCTGAGATCGCCTTTCTTTGGTATTTTGATCAGGTATCCTTCTTTCCAATCTGATGGTACTTGTTTCTCATCCCAAATCTTCTTGAAGAGAATGTAAAATATTTTCGCAGTTGCTTCTACATCTGCTTTCAATGCCTCTGCTGGAATGTTGTCTGGTCCTGCTTCTTTGCCGTTCTTGATTTGTCTGATGGCCATACTGATCTCCTCAATCGTAGGTGCGCCAATATTAATTGGGAGGTCTTTGGATGGTGCTTCGATGTTGGGTGTGTTCAGTGGAGCTGGTCGATTCAATAGTTCCTTAAAGTGCTCTACCCACCTGTTTCGCTGTTGTTCAGTGTTGCTGATTACTTTGCCTTCCTTACTTTTCACTGGTCGTTCTGGTTTACGATAGTTTCCGGCGAGCTTCTTTGTTGTATCGTACAATTGTCACATGTTTCCGTCTCTTGCAGCCTTTTCCGCCGTCATTGCTAGATCTTCCACATATTTTCGTTTGTCAGCTCTGATGCTCTTCTTCACTTCTCTGTTTGCTTCTGTATACTCGGCTTGCGCCTTAACTTTCTCTGCTCTTGTTCGGCTGACATTGATTGCTGCTTTCTTGTTCCTCCTTTCTTCAATTTTTGAGAGAGTATCAACAGAGATCCATTCCTTGTGATGCTGCTTCTTGCGACCAAGGACCTCCTGACATGTTGAAGTGATTGCCTCCTTAATCCCTTCCAATTGTTCTCCAATGTTGCTTCCTCTTCATTGAGTAGATCCTGAAAGGCCTGGAACCTATTGGTGAGGGCTATCTTGAATTCGTTGAGTTTTACGGTATCCCGAAGAAAGGCCGTATTATACTTGTGTGATGTTGTCTGCCCCGTTGTCCAGTGCTTCTTTAGCTTCAATCTCATTTTGGCGATCAGCAAGTGGTGATCTGAAGCTATATCAGCTCCTCTCTTGGTTCTCACATCCTCCATGGTCCTTCTGAACTTTTTGTTGATACAGATATGGTCAATTTGGTTTTGAGTAGTGTGCTCCGGTGAAATCCATGTGGCTTTGTGAATGCGTTTGTGCGGGAATATTGTGCCACCGATGACCAGTTTGTTGAAGGCACATAGGTTTGCAAATCTCTCACCATTTTCGTTCCTTTCTCCCAGTCCATGTCGTCCCATGATGTCTTCATATCCAATGTTGTCCATTCCAACCTTGGCATTCAGGTCTCCCATAAGAATCGTCAAATCCTTTGGTGAACATTTCTCGACGATTGACTGCAGCCTTTCGTAGAATTGATCTTTGTCGTCGTCATTGTAGTCATTGGTAGGTGCATAACATTGGATGACGTTCATTGTAATGTCCTCTTTCTTTGTTTTGAAGGATGCTTTAATGATCCTCGGCGCATGAGATTCCCATCCTATCAGTGCCTTTTGTGCATGTTTGGACAGCATCAGTGCAACTCCTTGTGTATGTGAAGCGTTTTCCTCTTCATGACCAGAGTATAACAGCAGTTCCCCTGAAGCAAGTCTCAGTTGTCCTACCTGTGTCCAATGCGTTTCACTGATGCCGAGCACCTCGAGGTTGTATCTTCTCATTTCTGCCGCAACTTGAAATAGTCTTCCAGTCTCCCACAATGTACGAACGTTCCATGTACCTAAAAAATGGTTGCTCTGGTTGTCAGAAGAGGCATCGGCCCCGTGACTTCCGAGGGAACTCGGCTTTCATCACGAGACGTCATAATTCATCTTCCAACTCCCAGGGCAGAGTTAAAATTGTTTGAATAATTTTTTCTGGTTAGCGTTTTTTTGGCAAGTTAGTTTTTGACGGAATGGGGTCGCCAACCCCATGTCCAACCCTCCTCCTTCATCCGGGCTTGAGACCGGCAGTAGCCCCTAAGGTTCTACTAGCGGAGTATAGACCACCATTAGAAACCTGTAAACACTGGCCGGTCATTTCCTTCTGGTTTGGGACTCATCAGCACTGCTCTCATCCACCATTGTGCACCGGCCCAGTGGTCCCGTGGTTAGGCGTTAGCGCACAAGACTGGAGGCTCTGGGTTCGAATCCTGCGAACTACAGGCTACCAATCATAAGTGGAAGAATTCGAATTGACAATTAGGATAACAAAGAAAAAAATGGTTATATAATCCAATGTAACATTTATCATGAATGTTATAGTATATGTGATTTGAATAAAGTTTTCGTTTGACTTCTGTCAATGTTTTATTGTTCGGATCTTATGTAATTTCATCAGAATTCTAAAATCTACTCCATCTAGTGCCTTCCTTTCCAGTTCTATCCAACTGTTGCTCATTTTCCTCATTTCTGTCTGTATTTTTCGAAGCAATGTGTGTTCTTTGCTCTTCCTCTTTTCCGTTGGCCTTGAGGATTCCAAGTGAGGGTCTGACTTGGGATAATACAGTTGGGTGCTTTCATCAATGTGTGTCTTATCCACTTCCTGCGCTTCTTTCTGATTTTTTCCTCCACTGGAATCTGGTTTGTTCTCTATCACGGTAGGTTGTTAGTGATAATCTCTGACCGAAGGATCCCAAGTATTTTGCGCAGATAACTGTAAGTGGACGCATGAATCTTCTGGATAATGGCGATACGTTTTAACTATGTAATATTAATAGTCATCTCAAATTATAGATTTGCCAATTCTACTGATATTCCAAACGTTGTGATTGATTTATCAATGGAAGTTGTGAGTTCAATTAATTGAATACAAGATTTTGTTACTCCCCAGAAGGATAGAATATATATATATATATATATATTTCAACTAGAGTTGTATGGATCATTGATTTACGCACTTAAATCATGAATCAACCATTGTTAGACCACCATTAGAAACCTGGAAGCACTCGACCGCCATTTCTTCCCGACATGGGACTTATCAGTGGCAGTGCGTATCTACGACTCCTGCTACGACTCTCAGGATTCAAACCAAAAACCTTCTGTCTGGAGCACACGAACACCTAACCTCTAGACTACTGAACTAGTCGGCATCCCAACGGTGTTCATATCTACTATAACTCTGGCCAATCTAGGTATTTCACTTGACCTGTAAGTGCTGCGCCTATAACCGACAGGATTGAACTCTACAGGTCACGTCTATATATCTATATTTATGTATAGTTTCATTTGTTTGCTTTTTTTTTCTCCTTTACAGAGATCAAAAACTCCGTTATCATTATCCATTACGATCGACAATGATCAATACATCCAATACATTATCAACAACAACACATCAACAATTAATTCGTAGTTATGATTTAGAAACACATTTAAATTATCATGATACATTTCGTAAATTGCGTAATGCACATAAAGATTTATGTTACAGTGTATTTAGTGATACTGAACTGTTAACTGGTAAATTCACCATTACATCAACTGATGATTCAGCTATTGACAGTGGTGAAGATGATGATTTTCACAGTTCCATAGATTCATTATATAATATAAAAAATTATTTAATCAAATCATCAAGTATAAAAACCAATAATTTAATTAATAGTATTAATAATAATAATAACGATAATAACAATAACAATCATGAAGATATTAGTAATAATAATCATAATCTTGTTAATAAATTGAAAATGAAACCAAACTTGTCAGGCAATGATTTAAACAAACAATTGACTCCATTGAATATTGAAATGAAAAAATTGAATGTTGAAAACGTGGATGAAAATGAGAAGACAGTTGTTCTATGTGATGATGATAAACAGAAAAGTACTGAATGCAGCAATGATGCAATACTACAGGTAAGTATATCATTTTACTATTTTCTACACGTTATAATAATGATTAAAATGTACCATAATTGTCTCTTTTTTTTTAAAAAAAATAACGTAGATTTTGAATTATGGGGTTGTGGAGATTGTTACGTTACTTTTCGAAATCATAAATCAAACAATGTTAAACTACCATTAGAAACCTAGAAACATTGGACTGCCTTTTTGTCCTGGTATGCGACTGGCTTCGTGAAGAGATTCTCAGAGTTCTAATTAGAAGTTGTGGCTAGTGGAGTTCATCCTTGTTCGGGTGGTGTAAAGCAGTGCACAGCAAAGACAGTGGTCAAGGTTGTGAAAGGCCGGGGATTGATTGGAGTTAGATTTTAACACCGGGTCAGTGGTTCGGAGGTCAGGTGTTCGTGCGCTCAAGCCTGAACGTCCTGGGTTTGATCCTCACAAGTTGCAGGAGTCCTAGGTTCAGCCTTCTGATGAATACCGTACCAGGACGAAACAGCCGTCTTTCAGTGCTTCCAAGTTTCTAATGGTAGCAATCTAACTATGATTGATTCATGATTATATACTTTGATTCGAAATACTGGAATTAATCAACTTTGTAGAATTTAGTTACTTGTACATGTTGTACTGGCTTTGTGGTTAAACTCCGCACATTATTCTACAAATTGCTCCTAAGAATGACTATCACTCTACTTGCTTCGACACGAACAACCAGTTTGCGTAAATTGGTCAAATATATATATAATTTCATTGATACTAAGCATTTATCACAACTGTGTACACTACTCAGTACTTCTTTAGGTAGTACACTCCATTCTCAGAGATGGTTTTGTACCCTAATGGTTACATCTTAGGTTCGGAAACTGAGTGGAGCGGGTTGAAAACCCCCATGAGAATACCAGTTCCCCCAATTATTATAGATAGTTCTTCAAGATCTAGGGTTTTCTGTTGACTAACTCCAGACTCTTAACATGTCAGTAGACCAAGCAAAGTGTTAGGATATTCATCCAATATCCTAAGAGAAGTATTGGTCAATTCCTATTGGTTAATTTCTACTGGTAAATTTTATGATCGTACTAGATATCGATGTCACGTACTCCAATGTTTTTTCTGATTGGTCGTCCTGAATTTCAATATCACTCCAGTTGTTGTTTCCTGTTGGTCGTCTTAATGTCACAGACTTCGATGCTGTTTCCTATTCGACCTCAATGTATAAATACGCGTTATCTGTAACATTCTGTGACCCACACCCGGATCCCTAGTCCGGGATACTGATTCTCTCCTGGACTCTGACCTCGTACTTTCTGGATGTTTGTAGAATACAAGTTCTACTTTATAGCAATTCTTCTTCTTTTACTCAATGGGGGTTTGGGATTATTGGATTAGAGTAGCCTGTCGTGTCGCCGAATCCACGATCCTCGCTCTCGTTTTCCGACTAAGGTAAACTCGTAATAATTTAAGCATATCAACTGATATGTTTACGTACATGCAGTCAGTCAGTCGTTTGCAACGTAGAACTTCGTACGGATGTACACCAGTTCAGGTTGCCATACCACATCAGCACAGAGACGCAAATGTTCAATCAAATCTCATAGTGATAGAGATAGTAGAGGTATTAATGGTGATGAAGAAGACTAGGGTGTGAAGATATTATTCAAGAAGTATAATTCAGTGAGATAAGGTTAGAAAGACAAAGCTAGAGGTGCTGACGAATCCAGAAGATTAGGATTTGAGAGAGCACAACGAATGAATGCACTTGCGCCATTGCAAACGATTCTGAGCCCTGTCATTTAAGGTCTCTAACCATTGGTGACTTTCGTCTCGCGGACCGCAACCACGTAGCCTACATCTACCAACATGACTCAGTCCACTTGTTAGTGACTTCATGGATTTGTGCCATGTTTTGGTCTGGCCGCCCCTAACTTTCTTCCAACCTACTCCTACACTATAAAACATCACTCGTCGAGGCAGTCGGTGGTTAGCCATACGTAACACATGTCCCAACCACCTCTAAGCTTGATGTCAGGAGTGGGATTCGAACCCACGCCCACAAAGTGGACGTACATGCATAAAACACTAAGTATCCTATTTATTAATTCATGAATAAGCACTAAGTTTTAAAATATATAAACTGATTAGCGATAATTGTTTTAAAAATTATTCAATGAAATGTAGATGATCGATTATTTGAAACACAATCAACAATTAAACTAAAATACACCAGAATCTAATTAAATGCAACTAATTAAGCCTCCGTTTGTTCAGAATTCATATTTTATCATAATACCATGTGCCCAATCAATAACAATTGAAATGTGTTTTACCATTGTGTATTACATACAATATTTTATAGAATCTCAATCCATCAACGGATTTGAACAATGTTTCCGAATGTAGAAAACACTTGTTGGTTTGTAAATCAGCGGAAAATTCTTCTAACACTGTAACACATTTCGCCAATGATTCACAGTGTAATTTGAAACTGATTGCTCCACCTCCTGTGGTGATCTATCGGAGAAGATTTCAAAAGCTTACATCGAAACGAATGTCAAAATTAACTGATCGACAGGTAAAGTAAAGATTTTCATGTTTGAAATTAAAAATACTATCACCTTTTTTAATTTATTAGTTGCTTTGAGAAAGTTTGGTTGTCTGTAATGATGTTTCACAATGAGGAATGTTATAGCTATTAAAAAAGGGTTGTGGTGTGTGCTACTTATACGAACGATATAAGTAGTATAAGAAGGGACGTGAAAGAAGTCTCACGGTCAGAAGAGGAAAACGGAAAGCAAATGGAGCAAAAGCAAGAAGTAAATGGAGTACCAACAGGAAGTAAAGGAAGCAACAGCAGGAGTGGAAGAAGGCTGGGGCGTTGGGCCGCTTCGTCCTGGTATAGGACTCACCAGTGGCAGTGCGCATCCACGACCCCTGCACCCAGCAGGATTCGAACCCAGGACCCTCGGTATTGTACGCGAACGCCCTAACCGTCAGACCACTAACTTGATCAAATTCAGTAAAATAAAATAAAAAAACTAACAATGTTACTTTATGAATAGAGAAATGAGAAGACATATTTTGTGAGATAGTACCATTTCGTGCTTTCTCGTCTGTCACATACAAGCAACAGGTTATTTATGTAAATACAGTTTTGAAGATAAAGTCGAAATTTCTTATTTAGCATGACATTCACTCACTAGAACCATGGTAAACAAAGGTCAACATACAGTTGTTTTTGAACACCACATAAAGTTGGACTTCTCCGACCAATCAAGATAGCTTCGAGTAGTTTCAGTGTGTGTATGGGTTTTGATGATATATCACAACTCTAAAAGCTGATTTTCGGTCAATTTGATGACCACTCATCATCATTAGATGTTTTGCAATAGACGAGGCTGAGTTTCTTGATCGATTTTGAGATGACGGGCTAGGTGGATGAATCATGGATTTGATTAACCATTTTGGAATATGTTCCCCCATGCTGTCTTCCAATCGGCGATGTTACTTTATGCTTTCAATGAAATTAATCATTGTTTACTCTACTACATAACCAACCATTTGATAGAATTATGAGTTGTTTTTTTTTTAAAAATTTTCCACCAAAAAACACAGACAATATTCAAGCCTTGTTTGCTTTTCATTCAATAGTAGTTCAATAGTCAATAAACGATTTAATTTTTTTGAATTTTTTTTACCTCTTGTTGATCGGTTCATGGTTTCAAAAATGTGTAACGTAACAATCTTCACAACCCCGTAATGCAAATCACCTGTGCTCACTAGTGACTAGCTTCGTGAGGAATCTTCTCCGAGTTCTAGTGGGAAGACGTGACCAGTGAAGTTCAACCTGTTCGGGTGTAGACAGTGTCTACCGAAGACTGTGTATGAGGTTGCGCAACTCCGTGAATTTGATCAAGTTAGACATTAACACCGTTAGGTACCGGCTCAGTGGTCTAACGGTTAGGGCGTTCGCGCACAATACCGAAGGTCCTGGGTTCGAATCCTGTGGGGTGCAGGAGTCGTGGATGCGCACTGCTGAGGAGTCCCGTACCAGGACGAAACGGCCGTCCAGTGCTTCCAGGTTTCTAATGGTGGTCTAACATTGATCGGTTCATGGTATCAAAAATGTGTAAGATATATTTATTGTAAAATGAATAATCATTACAAAAATGTTTTTGTTTTTTTTCTTAGAAAATACAATTTGTAACAAGGTTATTATCTTGATTGTTGTTATTGTTGTTGTAATAACAGTTGTGTGAACAGTTGCACTTGTGTTTCCTTGTTTTCAACGTACATACATATATATATAGATAGATAGATTTAAAACACACAATAATTATTCTTTAAATGTTTTAATCGACAATTAATTACAGAGGAAGGATGCTTGCTTCTTTCTGTGTTCTAATATTGTAAAATTAATCGGGAAAATTGATTTACAACCTACCAACCAACCAACCAGATGATGATGACAGACAATAAAATTTTTGAAACCATATGGAATTAGTGTTGGTTGGTGTTGTTGGGTTGTTGGGTTGTTTTCTATTGTTTCAGTCTTGAAAAACACACATTTTTTGTGCATTAACCTACATGATAGTTGGATATATTGAACATTGAACAGAATTAAATAATTGTTTTTATTAAAATCTGATTTAATTTCTCAAAAAAGGAAAACAAAACGCAGCCAATTGATAATATCGTTTATTCAAAGAAAAGAAGGGATAGAAACATTGAACATTATTTTATTATTCGTTGCATATTGATTATTGAACGCCGCCAATTTTAAATTTTAATTATTTTGTTTGTTTTTTTTTTGAATTTTAATTCTGGTCGTAATAATTCTTATTAAACTGAAAATTATTAATTAGTTGAACCAACAATCATTTGGAGTTTACGTTTCAGTGAGTCTTTTCAATTTCATATACAACAAAGGTAAATTATACATATATATAGCGCTAAAGTCAGAATTTTCCATACAAATGTCAAGACAGCAGCTCTCTTGTACGGGACGGAAGTTCGGAGGACTGCGAAATCTATCATCCCGATGATACAAATATTATCTAAGCAAGATATTGAGGATCCGTTGGCTAGATACTATTAGCACCAACCTACTTACTGTAGGAGGGAATAGACCAGATTCCAGTGGAGGAGGAAATCAGGAAGAAGTGCTTAAAATGGATAAGACATACACACACACTGAAGAAAGTATCACCCATCTGCCGGACAAGACAAACCCTTACTTGGAATCCTCAAAATCAAACGAAAAGAGGAAGGCGAAGGAACACATTATGTGAAGAGTGAAGAACAACAGTAAGACTAAACTGCAAAGGAAAGCTCAAGACAAAGTAGGTTGGAGAATGTTCGTCAGCGGCCTATGCTCTATTAGGTTAACAGGCTTAGGTAAGTAAGAGTGGGAAAGTGAGGCAGAGAGAGTGAGAGAGAGACCGAAATTCGGAGACTGCTTTTTTCACAGTTTAAACTTAAAAAGTGGTTAAAATTATTCCCTATTAAACATTAAAAATTTTGTCTAACCAAATTATTGTTTTTGAAAAACATTTTTTTATATAGAAATCTTCAAATTGTAATAATTTCGATGAAATAAAATCATCGGTGAATAAGACTGAGAATATGCTAAGTACTGCTACGATTGTTGATAGTCGTCAATTGACTAATACAGAAGAGAAACATTCCAGTATAACTTCTAACAACAATACAGAGAAAGTTTTACAGCACACTGATTTAATCTCATCCAATCAACAACCACTTCTTACATGTTCATCATCCTTATTGAATCCTACTACAATTGAGAAACAGTCACAAATTGGCAAACTTGACAATAATCCTACAGGCAAATCGTTATTTTTCCGATCGAAACAATTTCCCACTAGTAAACTATTATCGCCGTCTCATAATACCAAGTTACGATTATCACAATTGGATAGTAGTAATACTACTACAACAAGTATTCCAACTTCATCATTAACTGCTTCATGTTCAAATGCTATAAAAAGTTTTGTACATGAAAAATCCATGTCTAAATTGAATTGTATCTCGGCATCGATGACAGTGAAAACCTCAGTAACAACCACAACAACAACAAATCATGTCAGTAGTAAGTCGACCAACAACAACAACAACAACAACATAGTAACCTCTCCTGAAATACGTCATCTTAAACATAGTCTAGTGAAATCTTCTGTCAACAACACATCAACTAATCTCAAAGATATGAAAACCAATTCAAAATCATCTCCAACATCACCAACTTCATTTAAAACGAACACTTCTTCTTCTTCCGCTTCTTCTAATGGTATTTTCTCATCATCTTCATCATCAATGCTTATTGATAATAAGACGAATTCAACTGAGAAAATTCCAAAGACTTCAATCGGTTTATGTTCGTCAACAAACACTACAACTGTGATCGATTCATTGAAAAAAATCAATAAAATGATGAGTAGCAGTAGTAAACCGAAAGTTCACTCTGAAAAACTACATCGACGTACTACACTCGGTGGTAATCATGCATCAATCGAATGTGATAAAACCATACCTTCCACAGGAATACCACCGCCTATTCCACCACGTACAACATCACGATCACAAACATATCAAGGTAAAATGGTCATATTAAAACCGAAATGTCTTAGTGTCACAAATAGTCCTTATACATCGATAAAAGATTCTGTTGATTATTCAACAAACAATCATGTAAAGAATCATGCATCACTTTTAAATTCTTTAAAAAATGAAAATGAAAAATTCAATAATATTCATCAAACACAAAATGAATCATCTTTGAATGAATTGAATATTGTGAATAATGACACTCATTCATTGTTATCTTTAACTCCACAATGGAAACGTTTAAATCATTCAAAAATAGTCACAACTAGTGGAACAACTCATAAACGTTCTACAGAAGAACATTCATTGATTAAATCACCAATTACTTCAGCATTAACAGCATCAGTGATCAGTTTGTCAACATGTGATGACAATGTTTTATTGAATTCGTCAACTCATACTACTAACAAAATTAATGAACAGTATAAAAATTCACACCAAATAAATTCGATGGAATTAATTAATGATGGCCAAAATGAACTAGGTGGATTAATCTACCCAGTGAATTATGCCATGAATTATTATAATCGAACAATAGATAATACTGATTTTCATGCACAGTTAAATACTACCACTACAATAACAACATCAATTACACCGATAGAAGGAGATAATAGATTAACGGAAACTTCACAACTACAACATCAACAAAAATCCCCATCATCATCATCATCATCGCATTTACACAAACAATCCTACCATTCTTATTCGCATTATCCTTACATTCAAAGTCAACATTCTCAACATACACATCATCATGTTCATCATAATCATCATCCTCATCCCACACATCATTCTCATTCACACCAACAGCATCAATCACAGCCACATTTGCATTATTCTCAACAATCACAACTTTTTCATCAACCTTTCAATATGAATTCATTACATCATCCAGTCAATAATAATTGTAATCATACTACTACTACTACTACTACTACTACTACTACTACTACTACTACTACTTATAATCATAATAATAGTAATACAATACAATGTAGTACAATGCCAGACAATGTAATTCACACTAAACATACATTATCAATGCATACAATGATGAATAAAAAACTACCAACGTCACTGTTAAATTATCAGAAAAATAATAGTTTATTAAATAAAACAAAAGCTGGTTTGTTTTAATATATATATATATATATATATATATATATATATATATATATATTGAACAGTTTGTATTCTCAATGATCAATTTTCATAAATAAAAAATATGTATGCAATGTATAATAATAAATAGGCAATATTATGTAATATTTTGCATGAGTCTGTCTCCCCTCGCCCCTTTGTTATTGAACAGAAGGAAGGAAGTTTGTTGTATACAAACGTTGATAAGTCAGAAAAATGATTTCAGAGAAAATTTATCTCCTGTGTGTTCTTTTCTGATCTGTTTTGTTTGTTTGTTCATTGTTTTGGGGTTTTGGGGCATTTTGATTTTCTGTTATGATTATTATCTTTTGTTCATTTTCACTTTATCGATTAATTCAACTTTATTGACAAAAGGTCTGCGGGATCTGTTTGATAATTAATTCTATAGTGAGTGTATTAACTATATTGCGTTACGTATACTTACTTGTACAAGGTTGACTATGTGTATGTATGTAATCTCATGTACAGTAAATAAAACATAATTGTAATAATAACGCTAATAGAAAAGAATACAAATGAGAAAATTAAACTGATCCGGTAAAAATTGTATATTTTTCTGTTGATAAGTGAGTTTTTAAATGGAGACATTTAGATTACAAATGAAATTCAACTTATTTTCAATTAGAGGAGTGATGGAGATCAGCCTTTTTACACACACTGAAATCATCACTGTTAGATCACCACCATTTTAATAAACGTTGAAGCACTCACTGAAAGACGGCCGTTTATTGCTGGTATGGGACTCATCAGTGTATCCACTAGCGGGAAAAGGATTGATTCATGAGTTCCATGTATATAAAAACAATGATCCCCGCAGATCTCGAAAAACTGTACAATGTGCTCACTAGTCAATGGGCTTCGTGAGAAAATTCTCAGAGTTCCGGGGAGAAGACATGACCAGTGGAGTTTAACCCTGTCAGGTGTAGGCAGTAACTACCAAATACAATTGGGTGAGGTCGTGCAAAATCTCTAGATTGATCAGTGTTAGGCGTAAACACCTTTGGATACCGGCTAGCTCAGTAGTTCAGAGGTTAGGTGTTCACTCGCAAGATTGTAGGTAATGAGTTCGGATTCTGCGAGTAACAGGAGTCGTGGCTGGGCCCTCCCACTGATGAGTCACATACCATGACGAAACAGCCGTCTCTCAGTCTTTCCAGGTTTATGATGGTGATCTCACAATGTTCGATTCATGATTTCAATGTTTTCAAATACAACTTCTAAATAAAATATGTATACATTGATTAATAATACACATCGGTGTGTGTTTCTTGTAATATTTTAACCACAGTATTACTGAACAGGGACAACAATCGGTAGACGACTTTATACCAACCAGGCTGTCAGGTACGTGGCAACGTGGGCAGTCTCCTTGTTTCTCCTGTAAACAAATGTAACATAACCCTAAACAATTGAGAGGGTGAATTTGTATAAATTGTGCATTTATATTATTTATTACTGAATCAGATACTTAAACGGCAAATTACTCAGAGAGATTGCATTATTTTATGGCAAATACACCATTCACAATGAAAATAAAGAACTAGAGTAAGAAATAAACAATAGTTTATTGGATATCATGAATCGATCAATGTTAGAGCACCAGTATAAACCTGAAAGCACTGAAAGACAGCCGTTTCGTCCTGGTATGGAACTGAATCATCAGCGGCAGTCCCACTGCTCGCAGGATTCAAACCCAGGAGCTTCGGTCTTGCACGAGAACGCCTAATCCCTGGCTGTGCTCTTTCGTTCACACTTGATGGCCACTGACATATTCCTTTCACTACCACACACCACTGATCATATTACATACAATATGATAAACCTTGTCC